ACCGCAGCACACACACCCACACATGCCGGGTGCCACTAGTTACAGCAAGGGGTAAGGGTGGACTGAACAGGTTACCGGGGACTGCAACACACACACATACACATATCGGGTATCGTCGGTTACAACAAAGGGTGAGGATGGACTGATCAGGTTACCGGGAACTGCAGCACACACACACACACACATACCGGGTGTCACTAGGTACAGCAAGGGGGAAAGGTGGACTGAACAAGTTACCAAGGACTGCAACACACACTCATACACATACCGAGGGTCACTAGGTACAACAAGGGGAAAAGATGGACTGAACAAGTTACTTGGGACTGCAACACTTACACATATACATATCGGGGTTCACTGGGTACAGCAAGGGGTAAAGGTGGATTGAACAAGTTACCGGGGACTGCAACACATACACATACACATACCGAGGTTCACTGGGTACAGCTAGGGGTAAAGGTGAACTGAACAAGTTACCGGGGATTGCAGCACATACACATACACATACCGGGGGTCACTGGGTACAAAACGGGCTAAAGGAGGACCGAACAAGTTACCGGGGACTGCAGCACATACACATACACACATTACAGTCAAATAACAAGATTATAAGCAATCTGTCTAGGAGGAAAGTTCGCAGAAGCACCCCAAGGCAATTCGCCACTTACACATGCATCAAGATCAGTGAAGGCACAAGTTTGAGAGCACCTAATCCAGCGGAAAGTTCACTGAAGCGTCCCAAGGTAATTCGCAACTTACACATGCATCAAATCAGTGACAACTCAAGATTTGAAGCATCTATACAAGGGGAAAGATCACCGGAGCATCCCAAGATGAATCGCAACTTATCGAAGTTCCCAAATAAGTGAAAGCACAAGTTTGCAGCATTTTCACAAGGGGAAAGTTCACCGAGCAATCACAAGATGAATCGCAACTTACCCAAGCACCCAAATCAGTGAGAACACAAGATTTGAAGCATCAACACAACGGGAAAGTTCACCGAACTACCACAAGAAGAATCACAACTTACCCAAGCACCCAAATCAGTGAAAGCACAAGATTTGAAGCATCAACAGAAGGGGAAAGTTCACCGAACTATCACAAGATGAATCGCAACTTACCGAAGCACCCAAATCAGTGAAAACACAACATTTGAAGTATCAACACTAGGGGAAAGTTCACCGAACTATCACAACATGAATCGCAACTTACCCAAGCACCCAAATCAGTGAAAACACAAGATTTGAAGTACCAACACAAGAGGGAAAGTTCATCGGACTATCACAAGATGAATCGCAACTTACCCAAGCGCCCAAATCAGTGAAAGCACAAGATTTGAAGCATCAACGCAAGGGGAAAGTTCACCAAACTATCACAAGATGAATCGCCACTTACCCAAGCACCCAATTTAGCGAAAGCACAAGATTTGAAGCATCAACATAAGGGGAGAGTTCACCGAACTATCAGAAGATGAATCGCAGCTTACCCAAGCACCCAAAACAGTGAAAACACAAGATTTGAAGTATCCACACAATGGGAAAGTTCACCGGACTATCACAAGATGAATCACAACTTACCCAAGCTCCCAAATCAGTGAAAGCACAAGATTTGAAGCATCAACACAAGGGGAAAGTTCACCGAACTAATCCAAGCACCCAAATCAGTGCAAACACAAGATTTGAAGTATCAACAAAGGAGAAAGTTCACCGAACTATCACAAGATGAATCGCAACTTACCCAAGCACCCAAATCAGTGAAAACACAAGATTTGACGTATCAATCCAAGGGGAAAGTTCACCGGACTTTCACAAGATGAATCGCAACTTACCCAAGCACCCAAATCAGTGAAGGCACAAGATTTGAAGCATCAACACAAGGGGAAAGTTCACCGAAATATCACAAGATGAATCGCAACTTACCCAAACACCCAATTTAGTGAAAGCACAAGATTTGAAGCATCAACACAAGGGGAGAGTTCACCGAACTATCACAAGATGAATCGCAACTTACCCAAGCATCCAAATCAGTGAAAACACAAGATTTGAAGCATCAACACAAGGGGAAAGTTNAGTTCACCGAACTATCACAAGATGAATCGCAACTTACCCAAGCATCCAAATCAGTGAAAACACAAGATTTGAAGCATCAACACAAGGGGAAAGTTCACTGAACTATTCGAAGATGAATCGCAACATGTACAAGCACCCAAATCCACAAAAAGACAAGATTGACGACTCCTACACTAAGGGAAATGACCGAAGTATCACAAGATGCAGCGCAACACCCCCAAGCACCCAAATCAGCAAAATGACAAGTTGGAGACCATCTACACTAGGGGAAACATCACCAAAATATCCCAAGATGAAGCGCTTACACCCCAGCACCCAAATCAACAAAATGACAAGTTTGACATCATCCACACTAGGGGAAACATCACCGAAGTATCCCAAGGTGAAGCGCAACACACCCCAACACCCAAATCAACAAAATGACAAGTTTGACATCATCCACACTAGGGGAAACATCACCGAAGTATCCCAAGGTCAAGCGCAACACACCCCAACACCCAAATCAACAAAATGACAAGTTTGACATCATCTACACTAGGGGAAACATCACCGAAGTATCCCAAGGTGAAGCGCAACACACCCCAACACCCAAATCAACAAAATGACAAGTTTGACATCATCTACACTAGGGGAAACATCACCGAAGTATCCCAAGATGAAGCGCTTTACACCCCAGCACCCAAATCAACAAAATGACAAGTTTGACATCATCTACACTAGGGGAAACATCACCGAAATATCCCAAAGTGAAAAGCAACACATACACCCACCCACATCAGCAAAAAATCGCACTTTTGACAAGAGGAGGAGGGGGAGAAGGAGGAGAGGGAGAAAGAAAAGAAAAGGAAGAAGAAGAAGAAGAAGAAGAAGGAGGAGGAAGAAAGAAGAAGGAGAGAAGAAGGAGAAGAAGAAGAAGAAGATGAAGAAGAAGGAGGAGGCCTCCCTCCTCTTTCACTCACCTCTCGCTGGTCTCTAGGCAGTGGAGTCCCAATGCTTGGTTCTAGCCTCCTGAGTATGGCTTTCCCACCTCCCCAAGTCCTCTCCTCCTCCTCTCACACCCCCTTCCAGGTTATGGCAAGCTCCTATCGCTAAGGCTATGGAGTTCTTCCCTCTAGAAGGGCTAAGGGGACCCCTTTCAGCCTCTCCTCCTACCTCACAGCCTGAGGGCTAAGGCGGATCACCTCCCTTGCCTTTCTCTACCCTCTAGACCTCCTCCCTCAGCCCTATCACCATAGCCAAACTCCAGGCTAGCTCCGGCTCTCACTCCCTTGCTTCACTTCCACTCGGACTCTCTCCTAGACTCATTTGGGCAGCATGAGCACCTCTCATGCTCAAATGAGAGTGGCAGCCTGCACCTCCAGCTTATGTAGGCTGGAACAGGTGCACCGCCTAACCTCTAGGCCTCTCCAAGTGCCTCTAGGTGGACCGAGGTACCCTTAAGGCCAAATTTCAGGTTTTGGCCTTCCCGGAGATACCTGGGCCTCATTTTGGCCAGGTACATGCAGTCCGAGAGGCTGGTACCTTCTCGGACTACCCCTTGGCCTAACCCGACCTCTTTTCACTTCAAAAAGTGCTGCCTTTTGGGGTACCAATTCCCAAAATACAGCCTTTACTGAATTTTGAGGACCTAAAGGCCCATTTCTCGTCTTTTTCCTGGTCTAGGCCTCTCTTGGGTAGGCGGTTGCCTTTTTTCAAGTGACGGCTCCAATCTCAGCCTTGGATTTGGCTGAGATCCATTGTTCCCATCATTCCGAGCTACTCCAAGCTCCCCTTGGTTCAAATTTGAGCTCCTACCTTCAATTTTCCAACTTGGGCCAAATACTCAATCTTTGTCTTCTTCTTCTTTTTGTTTTCCCTCCCTTTTGCTGCCAACTCATTCCGGAGCTAGCCGTTTTGTGTCGGCCCACAAAAAACGGCTAGATCTCCTCCTTCGCAAGATCAGATCTCAGATCTAAGGCCCAAAAACCCGGCCAACTCACATCAACATTTTTCCTTATTTTTGCTGCTTAAATTCAGATATTGCAGAGATAATGCCCCAAGGACCTTATCTCTACAATCCGGACTGCCCTCCTAGGATCTAGGAGGGATGAGGTCATCGTTGAGACCTGCCAGTCCCTACCATTGTAGTCCCAACCTGGCAGCACTTTTTCCTCCACTCATTCCTCCTCCTTTGTCCCATTCTTCCCCCCTTTTCTCCCCCTTTTCCCTCCTTTCGCTTTTATTTACTGTTGGGACAAGTGTCCAACAACTATCTCTCCTCTTTCTAGTTGTTGGACCTTTCCCAAGACCTGATTTTGCAGCCGGCATATGGCCGTTACACCTCGAACTGCAGTAGTGGCACCCTCAAGGCCAAAGGGGGCTCCTTTTTGCTGCCGCCGCTTTCAGCTTGAGACCCCCTTGCTCCGATTTTCTCCGGCCAGCATTTTCTCCACGTGGAGCCCTCGGAACTTCATTTTTCTTGGCCTGGCTGGTCCGGAATAACACGGACTGCTGGCCGGCCTCCTCATTACCACTATCCCCCCCCATCTTTTCCCCTCGGCACCTCCCATCGTTGCTTGCCGCGGCGGCACTCATCATTTTCATCCGGACCCCTGGCCCGGGCGATCCCGTCCACCTGATATTATGTTATTTTATTTTTATTGTTGTCGCACTTGATCCAGGGTCCCCTTGGGTCACCCCGGGTGCCCTCCGTCTTCCCCGTCTCACGCCCGTCTCCTCCGTTCCGTTGACAACTTCTATCAACGCCTGACTTCTCCTCTTTTTCTTATTGTTCCTAGGCTCTCCCCTTTTTCCGGCGTCATCCCGGTTGACGACCCGCTCTCACGCGCCCTCCTCCTTGGGCTGGTTGCCGATTATTCCGCCGATGGCTCCGACCTTCAGCCCCCGTTGGCGACTCCCGACACTTTATACCGCCGATACCCGTCTTGCCAGTAAGATTTTGTCAGCAGACCAGTAAGTTCGAATACACGAGAGATGTGGACTTCAACACCGTAACAGACCTTGCGGAAAAGACAGTGGTCACTGATGCGCTAGCCCTGCCTAAGGAAGGGGAGGTCATAGATCTGACCGGGAAGACGAGGGATAAGGTCAAGAAGGGGATAGAGAGCCTGCATGAACGGGTGCACGGGGTTGACAACAAGATGGACAGAATGGAAAATGCGATGTTAGTAATGCAGGTGCAAGTGTCCAGACCCGCCCTCCCGCCCCAAGAGGCCGTGGTTCCGGCAGCTGTAGCAAACCGGGGATTTGGCAGAAGGGACCCCGCCAACGAACAATGCAAGTGTTGCACCATGATAAGGCATTTCGTACAGGCGTGTCCGAGACTCAATCACGATATTGAGCGGCAGAGGTGTAGTAGGTCCCTCAAAGGCGAGATCCTCGGACCCCGGGGGGAGCGTGTCAATTGGAACTCGCCAGGAGGGATGCGGCGAGCCGTCATCCTCCTGAATAACTTAGAAGTGGCCGCCGTAGAAGCAGAGCCGATAGCCGAGATTGTCTGGGACCAGCCTAGGGGACGGGGACCACAGGCCAATTTTATCCTAGAAGGCAATGGCCAGGATAGGGTAAATATCACCACTCGCCGGGCCGGCGCAGAAAAGAAGCTTATTCAAGATACAGTAATGGAAAAACTCGCAGGGACTAGCACGGGCCAGCAAGAGACCGAAGCCGGGGAACAAGAGAAGGTCTATGGGAAGCCAAGGGAGGACGAACCGGCAGACAAGGCTACGGCGGCAAAAGAAAAGTTCAGGTATCAAATTCCGATCCTGACTTCACTAGAAATCGATGGCACCTTGAGTAAGCTACTGGGTACCATGGTATCGGTGTCTTTTCAGACCATGCTGCAAGCCAGCCCGAGGCTGCTTAAAGGACTCAGGCAGTTGCTAACGCGTAAGCGCGTAGAGGTAGAGGAGGCCCCAAAACTGCAAGAGCAGGACACGGAAGAGGCCGAGGCGCTGCAAGGGGTCTCCAACCTCCAAAGCATTCCAGGGGGCTTGGGAGATTTGGAAAAAGCCTTTGCAGACATCCGCCTAAGCCTACCGGATCGTGAAGGTGGCGAAGTCATGAGGGCGCCACCCGGGACAAAGCTTTGCTTTCATGCATTACCAGTTGGGAAACTTAAAGTTCAAATCGGAACTCACCACACTTACGCGTTAGTGGATGGCGGAGCAGAAATCACCCTCATACGACGAGATTTCGCAACGGTCACGGGGTGCACGGTAAACAAGGAAGTAGCAGGGAATATCCGGGAAGCCGATGGCGAAATTCCTTTCACAGGGTATGTCACCAAATATCCAGTCAGGGCGGGAACCCGGGAATCCATCTGGTCCGTTCAGCGGATGACCGTGATGGAAGAAATGGATCACGACGCAATCCTCGAGAGACCGTGGTGCGCCAATGTGGAAATGATAGGAATGCATCTGCACGATGACACATACATGGTAGACATAGAGGACCCAGTGACCGGCCGCGGGGAACTCCTCCGACTTCTTGGGACCGGAGGGGACCCTCCGAAGGGCAAATTGGCAACCTGGTCTCCAACATTCGAAGAAAGTGCGCGGAAGGGGGCATTCGCACGAATGGAAGGCATGAGGGAAAGGGTAGAAATTATGATAGAGGAAGCTTTTAGTAAAAAGGAATGGATCAAGATCGGTCTGCCCGTAAAGAAGAGGAGGCCGGAAGACGAGCCCCTGGGGAATATGGTGGCGGAAAAGGAGATGGAAGTTGAACTTGGGGCCAGCCTGCCCAAGCCAAAGGAAGGTCGTAACGAGACCCCCGAGCTAGCGCTCGAGATCCCAGACCTGTTGCAACTTGTTAAGGCAATCAGGTACCACAAAGTGGGGGTGGACCCGGCAACGCTTGCCAAGTTTGAGGATGATGTTCGAAAAGGCTACTGCCTGAATGGGAAGATAGTTAGCATTCAGCCCCGTATCATGGAAATAACAAGGCCAATCCCGACCGTTCATTTTTTAGGAGAACGATCCCAGAAGGCAGTGTGCGAAAATACAAACCCGTAGGGAAGAAGGCCAAGCCAGGCTCGATCCTAGTAGAAACATCAAAGGAAGAGGCCATGGAAAAAGAAGAGGAGATCCTACGGGTTATAAGGGAGAGACGCGCAACGGAAGGTCATCGCATACCAGATGATGTAGCAAACACCATAAAAATAGGAGTGGAAGGATTCCTAACACCGGAAGAAACTCAGTTGATATGAAAGGCATGCCAGGAGTTCCATTTAGCTTTCGCTTTCAATGATCATCAGAAAGGGCGATTGGACGCAAAGCTAGTTCCCCCTGTCAGGATCCACACCGTACAGCACGAGTGTTGGAATGATAAAGGGCCCGCATATGAGTTTTGGATAGCAGCGGAGGTCACCGACCTGCTTAGAGCCAAGAGAGATTCCTTCGTGACTGAACCCACCACATCCCCCTACGCGAACAAGTGGTTCGTGTTCAGGAAGCCCAATAAGACGCTCTGGTGGATCCAGGACCTGCAGAAGCTAAATGCGGTAACAATTAGGGACGCAGGTTCGCTTCCACAGGCCGACTTATTGGCAAAATCGCATGCGGGGCGGAGCATTTACTCCCTGGTAGACTTGTACTCAGGATATGATCAGTTGTCACTCGACGCGAGGGATAGACCGTATACCTCAATGCACACCCCCGTAGGACAGTTGCAGATGCAAGTGACCCCTATGGGCTTCACAAATGCGGTAGCAGAGGCACAAAGGACGATGCTCGCCGTTGCAGGAGATATGTTTCCGGAAAAGTGTGAACCTTATATAGATGATAATCCTGTAAAAGGTGCAAGATACAAGGACGAGGGGGAGGTCCAACCGGGCGTACGGAAGATTGTTTGGGATCACTTGCAGGATATTAAGGACCTGCTCTAGCGATTCCTAGTTTACAATATTACTGCAAGCGGACCCCAGAGCATCCTGGCTGTCGCGGAGGTAACTATACTGGGATTTCGTTGTCGGGCCTATGGGAGGAGACCCGACCCAGCAAACACAGATAAGATCTCTCAGTGGCCGACACCCCTGCGTACCACGACGAAAGTACGAGCCTTCCTAGGGGTGGTTGGATTCTGGAGGATCTTCATCAAAGGTTTTGCAAAGATAGCAGAACCTATCCGCGCGATGATTAGGGAAGGTGGCACTATGGATTGGACCGAGGATAGGGAAGAGGCAGCCCAGACCCTGAAAGACATCCTGTCATCCGATCAGGTCACTCTAGCGGCACCCTGTTTCAATGACGAGGTAAAACGGCCCTTCATCTTAGAAACAAATGGGGGACCGCTGACAGTTGGTGGAGTATTGATACAGAAAGACGAGGAGGGCAAGGAAAGGCCAATCAGATTTGAAAGTAGGACCCTGAATTCGGCAGAACGGCGGTACTCACAGTTCAAGAAGACCTTCCAGGCATACCTGCTCGGAAGGCGATTTATCCTAAGGATCAATCCCACCAACGTTGCCGGGGCCCTAAAGAACTACAAGCCTATAGATCCGACCGTTGGCAGATGGATAGCCTTCATATGGCAATTCGACTATAAGGTCGAGCGAATTGCAGGACTTCGAAATAGGGCAGATGGGCTGAGCAGGGTATGTATCACGCCAGAAGGAGTAGAGGACGCGAAACCAATTGACGCCTTCCTGGAATACGAAGGAGGGACCCTTGTTGTGGATAATGAGATGGCAGACCCAGCAATTACAACAGGTCAGTTACTGATCCAGACCTTGGAAAAGGGCGCACCTGCAGTAGTTGCAGAACTTGGGGAAGGACCATTCACCACGATCAGGCGTAAAGAGGAAAAGGACTCGTGGGGAGCAGAAGTAGGGGCCAGAGAGGAGCTGATGGCAATGTGCATGGAAGGGGGACGGGATGCCGTGATGACGTTGGCCGAAATTTGGACACAGAAGGAGTGTCAGTACCTAGTCAACCAGACCCGGGAGGAGCAGGGTATGGATCAGAAGGAACAAGAATTCTTCCTCATACAGATGTACGAGGGCGTCTTTAAAGAAATCGGTCTGCTGCTCGTAGGGAACAAACAACTTGCGGAAGTAAGTCCCAAGGCGAGGGAGGAAGTTGAAAAGTATGTCCTAAGAAATGGCCATCTGTTCAAGAAAGGGGAAGGGATGACACCTAGACGCGTCATTTGTGGGAGGTCTAGGCAGCTGGACGTAATTCAGGCAATGCATGATGGGCTAGCTGGAGGTCACCGGTCGTCTAAAGGAACACCTGCGAAGATCGTGCTCCTGTACTTTTGGCCAGGGATTGCAGGCATGGTCGCAATGTATTGTCAGACGTGTCTTATATGTCAAGAGAGAAGCGCCGTACGAGTTTATGAACCCCTTAGACCCACCTGGGTACTGGGACCCGGACACCTTGTTCACCTCGACCTTGCCGTTATGCCCGTATCAACGGATGGGTTTACATACATCTTGGATGCAAGGGATAATCTCAGTGGCTATGTAGAAGCCGTAGCCCTCGAGAAGAAGACGGGGAGAGCAGTGGCCGACTGGGTGGAAGATTTCTACCTAAGGCACCCCTTCGTGCGCAGGTTTATAGCAGACAATGGGACATAATTCGTTAACCAGGAGGTGTTGAACAGGCTTAAGACACTGTGTATACCAATCACCGAGCCCTACCATCCTGAGGCAAATGCACCAGTAGAAAGGGGTCACCGGACTTTGAAGAACACAATCGCAAAGTTGGCAGCAGATAATTTGGGAAGTTGGCCACGGTTTCTCAAGCATGCAGTCTTCGCTGAGAACATGACTCCAAGAAGAACAACGGGATGTATTCCAGCAGAACTCTAGTATGGAAGGGAGATCGATTTTCCGATAGAAGCTTTGGTCCCTACCTAGAACAGGCTAGATGACGACCCACACTTAGCACGGAAGAGTTAATCACCGCACGTTGTCAGCAGGTCGCCAGAAATGAGGAGGCACTCGAGGAAGTAGTCAATCGTGTGACGGGTAGCCAAATGAGGGATAAAGCAAGATGGGACCAGGTCAAGAACATTTGGAAGGAGCCACTCCAGGTGGGGGAAAAGGTGCTAGTTAGGAACTCGGCTCTTGAAAGCACATGGTCCGGACAGCTGGGAAAAAGATTCAAAGGGTCTTATAGGATCGCTAAGCGGGTGGGACCGAACACATTTGAACTTGAGGATCTCGATGGTACTAGCATAAGAGGGCCATTTCCGAGACAGAGACAGGTCAGATTTTTTAGCAGGGATCCGGTGGAACAGTGGCTACAAGAGGCTCAGGACAGGGTAACAGGGGAAGTCACAGCTTGAAAGGTAGACAACTGGCTATGATCCTGGACCGCCTCCCTATGGGAGTGATCATGACCACAAGGGTTGTTCGTTTGTGTGACTTGATTTTCTGTGGAACATGGGGAGACTGTCTGGGCTGAGTATGCATGGGGTTGGGAGTTGGGGGACAGTGTACTATAGTTTTTGTGGGCAACTCTGGGGACTGTCTACACAAGATATCTATGGGCTGGAAGACTGTACCATAGTTTTTGCGGGGGATGTTGTTGATCGCCTACATGAGGTACCTATGTGGGGGGGGGG